CCTACAGCGGGGCCCATAAAAGGAATGCGCATTTCAGTTTGCTTCTTCCGCATTCTGCCCCGCAGTAGCAGCAGCGTTTTCACGTGGCTGGAATAGAATCAAAAGCACCTTTTAATAGAAGTTTTAAAAAAAAAACCCTCACGTCTTGATCGTATAAATAACCCTTTGCGGCAGATATCGCCCCCCTGCCGACAGAAATGCTAGAAAGGCTCTAGAGTCTGTAAGACATAGAGGGATGAACGCGGCGGGGGCCTAAAGCAAGGATTAAATCCCTTCCCGACAGGCTAACTTTGAAAAACGAACGCGTTTAACAAATAACAATAACATTCGCATCAGCAAAAAAAAAAAATCTTCGCTCGCTGATGCACAGCTTAGAGTTCTGTTCTTGAATCCATTCTTATAGGGAAGAGACAAGACAACAGAAACAAGCAGTTTTAGTTTCCGGGAAAGTGTTCGCTCTACAGCCACTAGATGGCACCAAAGAGTAAAAAATGAGAAAGTAACTCCCCCCCCCCCACTTCCTCTCTTCTCAAAGGACTGAGAAGTGACTGTCAAACATAAAAGCAAATCAGAGTTTTCGGGTTGTTGTTTTTTTAATATGTAAAGAATGTTATTTCTTAAGAAAATTTGTAGCTAAATTATTCTCACTTAAAATAAACACTTAGTATACCAATTACCCAAATAGGCAGGGTTTTCTGTAACACTTTCTTCATCTGCATTTTTTGGAAGTGCAAAGGGAAAGGAAAAAAGAATCTTGGGTGAATACAGAGAACGGCTGCAAATAAACTGAAGATGAAATAAACTTGCCAAGTGTGTATGTAAAAAAAAATCAGCTGTCTCTCTCAAATAGGACAACGTACGATTAAAAACTTTGCAGAAAGGGGGGGGGGAGAGAAAGACATTGTAAAGCTTAGAAGAGTTGAAGTGGCAGGTGGGGGATAGATTTCTTCCTGCGTCAACCCACACAGACGCATCTCCAATCTCTACTCGGGGTGTGTTCCCCTCCCACACACACACACCAACTTGGGAGAACGTGTTTCCCCACCTTTGTGTCGACTCTGCACTGGTGCCCGCTGGCAAATTTCAAAGAAATAACGCCAATGCAAAAAAACAAAACAAAACCCTGTTTATTACACGGATCCCCTTTTCCTTCTCAACTGCGGCTGGAAATCCTCCCCCCCCCCCCACTATTCCCCCCGTGACAAGACCCGTTTTTGCTCTTCCCCGTGTGCGGCTGATGATGCTCAACTCGGGTTTCCAGCCTCCCGCCGCAGCGCCCGCTCGGCCCCTTCCGTCGGCACAAAGGGCTCCCCGGCCCGGCGAGCTCCAAAGTTTGCAGCCCGGCCCTCGGTTTCTGGGGAGTCCGCCGGTGATGGACGTGCGCTGACCCGCAGGGGCACAGAGGTCCTTGATCACTGAGCTGCGAATGGTCACCCCGGGCCCGGGCAGAAACTGGACGGCGATGAGAGCCTTTGATCTGTGCGGCGTTTTTTTTTGTTACCGAGGGAAAACAATGCTGACTTCTGCCCAACACCCGGCCAGGAGGCATTCCTCAGCAACCCCACAACAACAGGCACGACTGAGTCGGGGGGGGGGAAGCGCTCTGGTTGCTGGTCTCTCCTGTCCGAGCAAGCGTGTCCTTCCTCCCCACTTCTCTCTTGCCCAGCGGCCACAAGGAAGCGCACGGCTAAGGAATGCCCGTCCTTTCTGAAGGGGCAAGCCGCGGGGTGTGTGTGCGTGTGGGGGTGGGGGGGAGAGGTACACAAGCTTAACAAGCGCTTTACACAAAGTTAAGCTCTCAACGTGAAGGCGACAAGAGGATAAATCCCCAGCTTTTGAGAGAGAGAGAGAGGAGGAGGAGGGACGCACGTCCGACAGGCGGTAGGAAAACAAAAGAAAACAAACTCCTCTTAAAAGATCCGCACACACAGAAGCGGCCCTCTCCTCGCACTCCTTCTGGCAGCCCTTTTCTGACCCGGTTTACAGGACCTGCGTTTGCACCCGCTATTATATTATATTCCTTTCTGGGGGAGGAGAAATAACTGAGCCCCCGCCACTTTCTGTTGCCTGCGTTTTAAGCACAATTACCCAGCAAAGCCGAAAGACGAGTCTCGCTAGACACAACAGATGTTTTTATTCAGAAGCTTCTTTCGGGTCTAGTTTGTGGCTGCCTTTCCCCGGATAATTCCCCCTCTCCGAAAATTTGCATGCCCAATTTTGCTTCAAAGGGGGGGAAAAGAGAGGCTTAAAATATATTTTAATCTTTTATTCCGCAATGTGCTATCTGAATTAACTTTTCCCTCTCTCCCTCCCTCTCTTTCCTCCTTTCTCTTTTCCCTCTCTCCCTCCCTAGTCTCTCCCCACCCCCCACCCCCGGTAAAAGTAGCGCAATTATCTCATTGGAACGATTTTCCCTTTAAAAAAGAGAGAGCGAGAGATACTGTGGCTGTTAAGTTGGTGGCCAGAAGACAAAGGGAGTGAAAATAATTTTCATTTCAATAATTGCCTTCTGGTCAATTTAACTGTGCCTTATTTTGAAAGAGCTCGCCTAAATGAGATTCCTGTCCCAAATGTGTTCCCAGGCCTTATCCCATCCTTTAATTATTCCCGAGGTTTTTTTTCTCTCCCCCCCCTCCTCCCTCCTCCAGAATAAGACGCTGCACTGAGTAATCACAAAGAAACCGAAGAGTATCCTCGAACCTTTTCAATAGCCCGGCCACTGATATTCAAATAACGTGCAAGGACCATTTGACTGCGCGGGGGGGGGGGGAGAGACACACCAGAAGCGATTCGCTATTTGCATAGATCAACTGTCTTTTGAAAAAATAGGAAAAGGAGCAGTTTTCTTTCCACAGTATTTTAAAAAAAAAAGAGCCCAGTTATCAAGTGCTTGGGTTTGGGAGGCTTTTTAAAACGTTTACATTTTATCTCAGGTTGCCCTTTTACCGTTTGACATGCAAATGCGGCGCAGTTAATTTAGACAATTAAAAGGATCTTCAAGGGAAGCTTTTGTCGCCCGGAATATTCTGAAGGTTTTCCCTGCGGACCAGCTGAGATAAAGTTGGCCAGAACAAATGATGTCTAGGAGATTAATTAGATATTTGATAAGACATGAATCCCTAATAAGGGAATACAAGGCACAGGGGGCTGCTATGTGCTCCAAGTCAAAATTAATAACATTTAACAAGATTTTCATTTAGGCATGAAATGCCTTTTTTTCCGGAGTACTGACTCTAGCGGTTTTATTCCGCCGGGATCGCTTCCCCCAACCTGGGGACCTTGCTGGCGTCTCTCCACGAGACTTCGGTTATATTTTAAATATAAATATTTCCTTGGAGGCTGTTTTATCCTCAGGGCAGTTTATAAAAATCTGCCTCGAGTGGATTTTTAGTCACTCTCCTTATTCTGGTGGGGAAGGAATTCGATTTTAAGAGGCAGCCGTTTTAGTAAATCGGCTTTCAAATTAAAGCTTGTTTCAAGAGCCAGTCCATTAAATCCAGTGGGGATTTATTTTGCCGCCGACTTCAGTGGGGGTCATGCAACGCGATCCTAAAATGGTGTTCTTTAAGAACACTTTAAGACCCCTCGCCGACTCGTTCATTTGGATTTCTGGGTGTTTAAGGAGTGCAGATTGTCAGCGCGGATGTCGACTGTTTTTAATCCGACCTCCATTCATGTAACCTTTGCCTCTGATGCGGCGCATCGCTAGATAACAAGAGCGGCTGACGGATTCCAATTTTTTCTGGGGGGGAAAAGTACATCGATGTGCGGAGCTGACTTGCGGGGGAAAAAACCAATCCGTGCGTCGTTCAGAGTCCTTTAATAATACCAAAAAAAAAATGAAAATATTATGTCAAGATTTTTTCTTTCCAATACAGATAAAACGCATTTAAATTTCTTTTCAACAACCTTAACTTACTGGTGTGAGTGAAATGTTTAACTCAACATTTTAAATATCTTTTACATATATACCGACCTCCACAAAGTGCATCAGAAATAATAATAATTAATAATAATAATAATATTTTTTTTTAAAAAATCCCCTGAATTTCTGGAACTCCCCCCCCCAAAAAAACCCGATCAGAATTGAACATTTACAAGGGGGGTGGGGAGGAAAAAGAGAACACAATCCTTCGTGAGTGCGTCAGGAACCCTATTTATACATATGTCCCGTGAATGAAAAGAGAGAAACTGTCTCAGACCTTTTCCTGTTTAATTTCTCACCTTCAGCCTTTTTGTGTGTGTATGTATGTGTGTCTGTGTGTGTAAAGGACACTCTCTGTTTTTTTTTTTCGGTATTAAATATAAAAGCGTCGCTGTCGATTTCCCTCAAACAGGACTTGCTCTGGGCTGCAGTCGGTTTCTTTTATATATATACGTATAAGCTATATGATGATAATCCACTCCAAAAAGGGGGGCTGCGTCGCGGTCCCGTGGGAGGGAAGTGGGGGGGGAGAGTCTGCTCTGCCGAGTCTGCTTGGGGGGGCGGG